GATTTGTGATGTTATTAAGTGAACTTCAACGTGGGCAACTAAGTCATTGCCGATTTCAAATAAGAAGGCAAATTCGGAATTTTTGTTTAAAAATATAACTTTATTCAATTAGATATTGGCCGTTCTTGTCGATGACCTTTTTCCATCGTTCTGGCAGAGTAAAAATTCCCCGTTCGTAAAATGTCTGGTCTTTGCTATTAAAAAACTGCATTAGGTGTGATCCGACATCATCCGCGTTGTTAACAATTTTACCATTTAAAGAGTTTTGCATGGAACGAAACAAATGGTAATCCGAAGGCGCAAGGTCAGGGCTATATGGTGAGTGTGAGTGACAAAACATCCCAACCCAGTTCCAATAATTTTTGCCGAGTAACCAAAGATGTGTGCGGGGGCCTTGCGTTATCATGATGGAAAACAACACCCTTCCGCCGATTCGATAATGCCGGCCGCTTATCTTCAATTGCATCCTTCAGTTTTTCGAGTTCTTCAACATACACATTTGAATTTATTGTTTGGTTCTGCGGCATGAGTTCAAAATACAAAATCCCCCTGTGATCCCACCAGACTGACAGCATAATCTTTTTTTGGTGAATCTCTGCTTTTCATACTGTTTGGGCTGGTTGATCTTGCTTCACCCATGATCTCTTGCAAGTAACATTGATATAAACTATCCACTTTTTGCCGCCAGTAACTAGGTTCTTCAGAAATGGATCATCCTCATTGCGTTTCAGTAGCGAATCACAGATGCTAATACATTGCGTCAAATGAATTTCCTTTAACTGGTGAGGGATCCATTTATCAAGTTTCTTGACATAACCAAGGGTTTTTAATTTTTTTCAATGGATTTATGCGACACATTGAGCTTCTCTGCAATATCTCGTGTTGTGCTGTGACGATTTGAATCGATAATGGCCTTGATATGGGTTTCATCCACTTCGACTGGGCCCCCAGATCGTTGTGAATTTTTCAATGAAAAATCACCAGAACGAAATCTTTCAAACCAATTTCAACACTGCCTTTCTTTTAAGGCTTCATCTCCATATACGGCACATAACTTCTTTTGTGCTTGCGATGCGTTCTTGCCTTTTCGGAATTAATACAATAAAATGTGTCGGAAGTGCACGTCCTGTTCTTTCATTTTTAAATTGGGATAAAAACAAAACTAAAGAACTAAACGAAAAAAATTTTTTACTAATTAACCTATAAGCCCATCCAGTAAAAAAAAATATAGGTTAGATGCTCTGGCCACGTTAACAAAACAAAAGAAAGTATAGAGTGAATCTGTCAACAAAAACGACAATGACTTAGTTGCCAACCCAATAGATACTAATAAATTGTCCCAAGTGATAGTATTTAATTACAAGTCCCAGCATGGCAAGGTAATCTCAGTGCTGTTCCTAGAGCCACAATGCGCCTAACAGTAAATTCAATTAATGCAAATGTTTGTATCGGAAGCTAAAGAATAAGTCTTGAATCAACCTCAACAGTCTATGACAAAATCCCCCCCCCCCCAGGGATGAAATTATTCCCGAAATTGGCCTAGACAGCTTAAAAATATTGAGGAAGCAGAACGCATGACGTGATATATGCTTATTGAGGATACGATGATTATGATGTATGTTGTCAATAGCACAGATCTTAGTCATTAAATAGTGTTTGGGTGCGCTGATCCTACAATTACTATCGGCTGTTGATTGGGTGGCAGGTCTGTGTTCTCGCGACCTTAGTTGAGTCCTAACACGATCCACAACACGGTCGCAATTTTCAGAATGGTCGAGCGTGATTGAGATTCCATAGTTAAGCCAATTTAGCAGACAGTTACTAGCTGCCTTGTTTCAAAACATAAGATTGCACCAGATTTTACCCAAGATTAGCTCTTTTATTGATTAATTATGCCTTATTCCCTAAATTCACACCAATCTTCGAGTGCACCCCGAATTCAATCTGCCTAGTAAGAAGCATGTGCCGTCAAATCATTTGCCCACTGTCTCATGGTAGCACTAATTTTCACATCCTAGTAATAACGATAATCTAAAGTTAGAAGCGATTAAATTAAGAAATGGTTGGAGTATTGTTAAGATTGGTCAACTAGCAGTAACCAATAAGACAAAGCGCTCTACCACGGGATGATATCACTGGGACATGATATACTTGCGCTTTTGAATCTACAAATAACTTTCTACAATTGTTCTTGAACTACTGGGTGAGAAGTAGAACTGGTACTAACAGAAGCCAGGAAGTCAGGAGGAGGAGGAGGACGTTCGAACGGAAAGGAAATGGTTAAATTTTTTTAATATTTATTCCATGAGAGGTATAATTACGTGTTGGTGACTGATTTGTATTTAATGCAATCAAATCAACAGGGGATCTTTTTGTCAATCAAGGTGATTAATTAAAGGAATCAGTGAGAGGCATAACTGTTGGTTGGG